CTCTCTCTCCCCTCCTCTCTCTCCCCCTTCCTCTCTCCCTCTCTCTCCCTCTCTCTCTCTCTCCCTCCCTCTCCCTCTCTCAGCAGCCCCTTCCCTACCTGCTTGCCCTCACTGAGACCCTGCCTCCTGCTGTCCTCTTGGCCTATTGCTCTCACCATCCCTCCCCCAACACCCCCTCCCTATCCTCTCCAACCTCCCAACCCCCCACCTCCCATCCCACTCCTGCCAGAAATCCCTTCCAGGCCCAGATACCCCTGCCTCTTTGAAAGCTTCCCACCCAACCCCAGGCAGAACAGATGCCCCCCCATGTCCCCTGCTCTGTCACAGCAGCACTGCTGTCACTTGAGTTGGGATCAGCGCTTCATGCCTCACCCCCCCCCCACTCCCAGAAGGCTGAGCTCCCTGAGAGCAAAAACCAAGTCTGACCCCATGACACAGAGCAGCATTCAAAATGATTTGTTGACAGCAGCTGAGAGTGAAACTGTGGGATTAGAAAAGAAGATTTCAGCCAGAGGTGTCAGGAAGGTGTTGGTGGAGGGGGAGAACTAAGAGGCAGATTCATCTAGCATTTATGAGCACCTTGAGGGGCCAGTGCTTTCTCAGCCACCACTTTCTGCCACACAAGAGCTGGGTCTTATCATTCCCATTTTACATGGAAGGATACTCAGAGAGGTTATGTTCTCACTCTAGGCCACACAGCCAGTGAGTGGTAGACCAGGACTAGAATCAAAGACCAGGTGAGGTGTGGCTGGCTGTGGCATGGGGGCTGTAGCTGGCTGGTAAGAGAGGTGACACGTTTCTCCTCTGTGACAATGTGGGTCTGGGGTCTGAGTCTGGATCTGAAGGGCCTCCCTGACCCATCTCATTATTCCCAACACTGACCAGAGCTGCTCCCCAGCCTCCCACCACCGTCTGGGTCTGACTCAGGCCCATTCCGATCAAGCCTCAAGGTGATCCGGGAATGAGTGCAGAAATAGGAAGGAAACATCCCTCAGATTTAGCCTCCCCCCCCCCAACAGGTCCTGGCTCTAGGGCGGGAAAGAGCCACTTTAAGGATCTCCCTGGGGAGCCATGACCGGAAAGACAGATGATCCGGTTCACGGCAAGTGTGGCCAGGAGAAGGCAGGGCAGGCAGCTGGAGCCCCACTTCATTATCTCCCCCAACTCCTGCTGACTCTTTCAAGGCTCTCTCACCCAGAAAGCCAACCCATTTGACCTCTCCTCCATGACCCTGCTCTGCCAGTATGGTAGGGGTCTGTGTCCACTGGCATCCTGGGACAGAGTACTGTCACCCCTCAGACTGGGAGCTCCAGAGAGCAAGGCTCCTGACCAGCCCCCACTTCAGACTCCTGAGGGCAGGGCTGTGTCTCCCCCCTCTGACTGGGGACTCCTAGGGCTGGAGGCTAGGGCTGTGTCTCCCCGCTCTGACCCAGCGCTGCTCCTTCAGGGAGGCGAGATCACTTCTAGTGACCCTCATCAGAGCAGGGGTTGCTGCAGGCCAGCACCTGCGTTCCACTCGGAATCTCCTTTTTCTGTAGCCCAGCATCTGTCCTTGGTACCTAGAAAAGAGCTGAGAAGGGGGACCCTGCCTGTCCTTCCACCCAACCCAGATGCTCCTTTAAGACCAAAGGGATGGGGGTTGTAGGAAGAGTCAGACACAACAGCCCCATCCTCCCCCTCCTTCACAGGCCAGGTTTCCTGCCATTGACAGCATCCCAGCTGGGCCCTGCCCAGCCTCCCTGCTTAACCCCTTCATGACCAGATCTCAGGGCTCCCGGCCTGCACCCCCAACCTTGCATCCCCAACCTTCGTCTATAAAATTAGGAGAATGAAAGTACCTATTTCATTGGGTTGTTTTGAGGATTAAATGTGCTAATCATTTCGTGAAGTACTCAGAACAGTGCCTCGCATCTATTAATCTCTCAATAAAAGTTAGCTCTTACTCCTAATTGTGTGAGCTAGGATCAGTCATTTCACCCCTCTGGGCCTCAGTCTCTTCAGCTGTCAAAGGGGGAAAATAATAAAACCCAGCCCCCAAAGATCGTCCTGGGGATGAATGGTGATAATGTACACGAAAGCGTTTTGTAAAGTGCTGTAACAACACAATGTGGAGCTATCATGGACCAAAAAAAATGCTCCCTTTAACTAGGTAATAAAATCTCTTAGTGGGAGATGGGCCTTCCAGTTTTCAAACTCATTACCTTACTCGACAGTCAGAGTGGATTTGGAGTTGGACTTTGGCAAGTCTTCCCCTGTCTGATCCTGTTTCCTTACCCATCAAGTTGGGGGAGTCACCCCTGCTGGGCCCCCTGTCCAGGTCCTTGGGAGGGACAAAGGAGATCAGAGAGCACGGATTCCAATGTGCTTTGCAAACATTAAAACGTGCTAGGGGGGAGGGAAAGAGATTTGTGGAAAGTGGCCAGCTGTGTGGGGGGGGGGGGCAGGGGGCAGGGACCCCTTGGCAGGGGCATTGGTCTTTGAGCTCTGCATGCTGCAGAGTTCACCTGCTGAGGAGGGGGAGGAGGTCTCCTAGTCCCAGCACCGTGGCAACAGGGCTTCCCCTTGAGACATGAGGTATCAGATAAGATGCTGTGCCAGCTCTAGAAGTCCCCAAGTGGAGGCAGAAGAGGAAGGAGGCAGGGCCAGCCTAGTGGTGTAGTGGTTAAGTTCATGTACTCCGCTTCAGCGACCCGGGATTTGCAGGTTTGGACCCCAGGCCTGGACCTACGCACCGTTCATCAAGCCATGCTGTGGCGGCATCCCATATACAAAATAGAGGAAGATGGGCACAGACGTTAGTGCAGAGCTAATCTTCCTCAGCAAAAAGAGGAAGATTGGCAACAGACGTTAGCTCAGAGCCGATCTTCCTCACCAAAAAAAAAGAAAAAGAACAGAAATAAAAAAAAAAAAAGAAAGAAGAGGAAGGAGGCCAAAGGACCCAGGCTGGGTTCCCGAATCATCCCTTCATCATCCTCTTCCAAGCCAATCCCATTTGCCATCAGAGGACCTTGAGCAGAGGCACCTCCAAAGGGCTCCCGAGTGACCTTCATGCCAAGACTTGCTAGAGCAGGCTCACCCTGCACATCTGCAGCACCACTGCCCCCACCCTTAGGCTGCAGATTCCTGGCCTCACCTGGAGGGAGAGCAGGCTTGACACCATCCACACAGCCAGACCGGGACAGGTCTAAACCTGCTTTAGAGGGAAAAAAGCACAGTCAACCAGGACCCTGCTCTGACTTCCCATTGGAACCAAGAGGATTTGCCCAGGGCCAGAAGAGGGGGCTGACCCCCAGGGAATAGCACGTCCCCACCCCAGGCCTGTAGAGGAAGCCCGGGAATCAGGAGACCTTGTTTGGGGTCCTGGCTGTGCCCCAAGCTCACTGCGCCTCCATGCAAATCACTTAGCCTGTCAGGGCCTGTGTGACCATCTGTAAAATAGAGGAGCTGGACCTGGTCCACAGGTCCTCGCCAGCGCTGAGACTGACCAGGAAGGAGTTAACAGAGGCCAGGCTCTGGGTCAGGAAGGTGAGGGTTAATCTGGGGGGGTGGAGGCTCGCTCAGCTTTTCCTGTGGAGAGTGAGGTTTGGCTGCCACCAAAGTTACTTCCAGTCCTTGCTGTCCCTCCTGCCCTTCATCTGGCCCTGCCCAGGGACCCCTGCATTCAGCCTCCCCACACAGAGGTGAGTTCATCCTGAGCCCAGGGCTGGGGTGGGGGGGCACCCAGGGACCCAAGGGCAGGGAGCTGGCACCAAGCCAGTAAGCACAGTCCCCTAGCCCGATCTGGAGCCAAAGCGTTGGCCACAGTTCAGACCACTGACCCCAGGAGTGGGAGAAGGTGGGGGGAAGGATGGAGAGTACAAGGAAGTCTGCCAGACTTCTAGGGTGCAGCGTCTGTGGTTGGGCATCAAGGCCAGCCGAGAAGGCAGGGAAGAGGCAGTGGACGGCAGACTATTTTGGTCGCTGTGTTTAGGGACTTTTTATAGTCTCGCTGCTCAGGACTGAGAAGAGGAGGAGGGACAGGAGGGTACCCATGAGGTCAGACAAGCACAGTGCCCTCCTGGGACCTTGGAATCTGACCCATCGCCTGGTCTAGTCCTTGGGAGCCAGGAAGGAGGGCACTGCCAGGCTCTCCTTACTGCCTGGGCTCCCGGTCACCAACTACCTCCACACTGACTTACTAGACACTAGATGTGTGTGTGTGTGTGTGCGCGTGCGTGTGTGCATAAAGCTGAACTGGTTGCGCTGGGGTGGGTGGGTTGGCAGGGTCTCTGCCCCTAGGTCTCTTACGGGGCTCCCCTCCCCCCATTCCTGGCAAGTTCTGTTCCCTTGTTGTCTCCAGATCCGAGGTCTCTGCGGTCCTCGCAGCCCCTAGAACTGATGTGTCCCTCTCAGCTGAATGGAGGATGTGGGGAGAAGGGGGCAGGGGTGGGGTGGGGTGTTCCCGGGGAGCCGAGTGGGTGGCCCATTCTGTTACTGCCCAGGGAACTGTCAGCTCTTATTTCCAACCCCTCCTGGCCCCCTTCCCCAGCAGAAGGGAGGTGAAGAAGGGTCATAGGGTCTCAGGATGAGAAGGGGGCAGGGACCCTGAGGGCAGATTTCTGGGAGTGTAGGTTCTTGAGAAGAATTAGTGGAAGGAACTTTTTAGTGAGGTCAGGGGCCCATCTCTAACGGAAATTGCTTGGTTTTATAGCAGCAGGAATAGAGGCAAAACACCAGAGGGAAGTTCTGATAGGCAAGTGAGAGATCCAATCTGAACTAGTTCTGGACTGCAAGGCAAGAGACCTGGGTTCCAGTCCAGGCTCCTACCTCTCAGCAAGACCTGAGCAAGCCCCCTCCTCTCTGGGCCAGTTTCCCCTTTTACTAAATGGAAATGCAGAAGTAGACAAGGTGATGTTTACAGTAAGGCAATCTGGAATTCCCTTGGCAGGGGCACAGAGGGGGTGGCAGATAGCTGGCTGACATGACCTGGTGACCACCTCCCTCTCCTTCCCTGATGGCCCTGCTGGGCCTGGGCAGGGCACTTGGCTGCAATTACTGGAGGCTCCTACCCTGTGGTTATGTCCCTGACCTCGGCGCTCGCTCGGGGGCGGGAAGGGTGGGCCCTGCTGGAGCCAGCCTGTGGCTGGGAAGCCTCCTTGTCTTGGACTCAGAGTTGCTGGGTTGGGAAGAGGTATTTTTTCCGGTTGAGGCCACTTTCGGGAATTGGGCTGGGACCAGCCCCATTTCCTTTTCCAAGTGCCCTGCTCGCTGATGCCTGCTTGGCATGGACCTTTGGCCAGATTATGGCACCCTCAAAGGGGCATATGTTTCTGGGTGGCCAAGGAGCCCCTGCTCAATGTCTTTGAGGGATGGGGGGAAGGGATAGCCTGAGCCTCTGCCCCCTGGGCATGGCACAGGCTGACCTGGATGGAGGAGAGGTGGCTGGCTGATCCTATTCCCAGGAATGCCTGCAGGAGGGGCAAGGACATCTCCTACTCTCCCCCTGATCATTTCTCTTTCCCTGCAGGCCCCAGGGAGTTCAGCCAATTGCTCTCCACTTCTCAACTAGCTGCCTACCTCCAGTGGCTTATGGGGCACTGTCCTACCCAACTCTGCTAAGATGCTCCAGGCCTCTCCCTCCACCCCGTCCAGGGGACGGACCCCCAGCGCAGTGGAGAGGCTGGAGGCTGACAAAGCCAAGTATGTCAAGACGCACCAGGTGATAGCGCGGCGCCAGGAGCCAGCTCTGCGCGGCGGTCCCGGGCCGCTTACGCCGCACCCCTGCAATGAGCTGGGGCCCTCTGCATCGCCCAGGACGCCCAGACCGGCCCGACGGGGCAGTGGCAGGCGACTGCCAAGGCCTGACTCGCTCATCTTCTATCGCCAGAAGCGGGACTGCAAGGCTTCTGTGAACAAAGAGAACGCCAAGGGCCAGGGGCTGGTGCGGCGCCTCTTCCTGGGAGCCCCCCGAGACGCCGCCTCGAGCAGCCCGGCCCCAATAGAACGACCTGCGGCTCCCGGGGCTTGGGCCGCCCCCCAAGATGCCCCGGAAGCGGCGGGAAAGCGAGCGCTGTGCCCCACGTGCTCGCTGCCCCTATCGGAGAAGGAGCGCTTCTTCAACTACTGCGGCCTGGAGCGCGCGCTGGTGGAGGTGCTGGGAGCCGAGCGCTTCTCTCCGCAGAGCTGGGGCGCCGAGGCCAGCCCCCAACCTGGGTCGTCGCTGCTGCCCGGCTCCGGGGACACCAGCGACTGGACGTCCAGCGACGGCGGCACGGATCGCCCGAACGGTGCGGGCGGCGGCGGGGGCTCGGAAGCGGCGGGCTCGGCGCGGGACGGGCGCCCGCCGGTGTCGGTGGTGGAGCGCAACGCGCGCGTCATCCAGTGGTTGTATGGCTGCCAGCGCGCCCGCTGCCCACCCCGCGAGTCCGAGGTGTGACATCGGCCGCTCGGGAGCCGGCTCCCGGGGAGTCCGGGGTCCAGGGAGGGGCAAGGGGTGACCGCGGGCATGGACCTGGGCACAGGCAGGGACACCCTGCCTCTGACGCGCAGGGTGCCTTTAGGCGAGCCCTTCACTCTGGATCGCGGCTTCCCGATGTGAACCATGGGGGGATGGGACAAAATCTCGAAGGCCCTTCCCAGCATAGGCATCGGAAGGGGAGGTGGCGGCCTCGTGGCCCCTGTGGAGGCCGGGTCTGGGGATCCAAGACTGGGGTGGGAGATCAAAGAACCTGCTGAATAAAGTCAAAACGTTATTTAAAGGAGTCGTGAGGTTGGATTAGAGAGAAGTTGAGGAAGGGGGCGGGGCAGGTTTGTGCGGTTACAAGGGTGGGTTTTGGAGTGTGGGGTCCAGGCCCGGACAAGCATTTAACCTCTCGGGACCGCAGCTACACCCCTTGGTGATCACAGTATTTTTGAAATGGTCGTAAAGCGCATGGCAAAAGTCCCCGGCACAGAGGAAGTGCTCGATAACCGATAGCCGCTATGACCGCTACAGAATTAGTACTCACACTATTACGATCATCTCCTCCACCGACCCCCAAGTCGCTCCAAATCAGAGCTGGCGGCCGGGAATAGCGCGTTTGGGGAGTTGGGGTAGGGATCTGCTCCAGAAATTGGGGTTCACTGGCCCCTAAAAGGCCCCCATTCCCAGAGCTTTGCTGCCCCCTTTTGGTCACTAGGTATGAAGGACCTGAGATATGGAGGATCCAGAACTGAGGACAGTAAAAGAAGGGACCCTTCAAACCAGGATTTTGCCAACCCGCAGCCTCACATGCTGCCATTGTCTTCCTTTCCGTCAAAGACACACAAGGTCACCTGTCTTCCTCACACGTTCGCACCTCTAAGTCTGTTCACGGTCCTCCTCTCTTTGCCTGGGTTACCTTCCCTTTTCTCTCCACTCATCCTTCTAAGATTATATATATTCATTCTCCCTCAGGAATTCCCGAATTGCCCAGTCGGCCTCACCTCCTCTGAGCTCCCCAATACAGCCCTATTTTTGTGCCTCAACTTGTCATCTTGTGTGGGACCCGCTGGTAGTCTGAGTTCTCTCGTTAGTCTCTGGTCTTCGCCTAGTACAGGGACGGCGCACATAGCAGGGCCACAGGCAACGTCTGTCGAATTAAAACAGGCTAGACAGGACGACGGGGCCTGTTCTCTGGGGTTCCCCGGGTTCCTGGAAAGTTGTACCTCACGTCTAACACAGTCTATCCCTATACCCGGGCTGTCCCTGGTCATTTTCCCCCTGTATGTTTGTGGGAGAAGGGAGGGAGGATCCCACCAGATGGACCCCGTCCTGAGGTTACCCACCCAAAAGCAGCCTTCCCCGCTGTCCGGACAAAAGCACGCGGTCACACGGGGTGTGGGGCCAGGCTTTTTATGGGGGGAGGAGAGGGGCGGGCACCCAGTTCGGCTGTCGGGCTAGTCGCCCTTGGGCGCAGCCTTCACCCTCATCTCGGCCAGTTTGTGGGTGAGGAAGCCCCACTTGAAGCCGGCCACAGCGTCGGCCTCCCGCGGCTGCGGGGGCTCGGCGGCCTCCTCCGCGGCCTCGTCCCCGGCTTCGGGGTCCGGCTCCGGGGTGGGTTCGGCGCCGCGCAGCATGGACGCCGCCGCCGCCTGCTGCTGCTGCCACCTGCTGGCGAACGCGTCCCAAAGGCCGGGCCCGCGAGGCGCCTCCGCCGCCGCGGCGGCCTGCGAGGGGGGCCGCGCCGCCAGCGGGCTGCGGGAGAGTGGCGAGGTCAGGGGCCGGCCGAGAAGCCCCCGGAGAGGATGAAGGAGAGGAGGCGGGGTCAAGGGACCAGCAGTAGGGCCCGGGGAGTCAGGCAGAGGTCAGGTGACCGGAGGGGCCCCGGAGACTGGGGGCAGGGCAGGGCCTGGAGGCAAGGCGAGGGCTCTGAGGCACTGGGAAAGGGGACTGGGGTGGGACAGGGTCAGGGGATTAGGTGAGGGGTCTGGGAAGAGGCGGCTGGGATCAGGATCCCTGGAGAGAGAGCGGGGGTCAGGGAAGGGACTCAGGGAGAGGGATGAGGCCAGAGGGAAGCCAGAGGCGCCAGGTCGGGGAAGGTGGGGGAGGAGCCCTGAGGGAGAGGCGGGGCCCAAGGATGCGTGGGAGGCGAGTGGGACCCGGGTGCCCGCAGACCCGGAGAGGGTGCGGGGTCAGGCTCTGGAGGCGAGGGTCCGGGAAGCCAAGCGTGGGGCGCTAGGGAAAGAGGCGGGTGCGGACAGGGGTCAGGTTCTGTGATGGACGACAAGGGAGACCAGGAAAATGAGGCAACACTGGGAAGAACGGTGGAGCGACCTTGAGGAAAGGAGAAAGGCCTAGATCGGAGGCTTAGGAGAGAGGGGGACTGGGGAGGAAGCAGGAAGATGTGGGGTGATGGGCAATCAAGGAGCGGCGAGGAGGCTTGAGGTGGGAGCCTCAGGTCTGAGGAACAGTGCGAGAGCTGGGAGGGAGTGGGGATGGGCGCCGGGAAAGAGAAAGGAAACCCTGGGGAGGAGCTGGTTGGGTCAGGGGGCCCTCGGGGAGAAAGGAATAGGGGCGTGTCAAAAGCGGGATGTAACTGGGCTGGAGGAAAGGGCAGAGATGGAGTGTGCGCCAGAGATTTTGAGTTAGGAGGAAGACTGAGGCCCTGGGTCCCACCCCCTAATCCCCCAGCATCAAAGACCTTCTAAGACAGTGGTTCCTACACTAGTGTGCCTTGGGTCTTCAGAGCATTTGCTGAAAATGTGGATCCCAGGTCTCACCCACACCTGCTGAATCAGAAGCTTTGAAGGAGAGTCTGGAAATCTGTGTTTGTCACAAGCTCCCTGGGAGGATGAGGATTTAAACCAATATTTGGGAACCACTGATCTGGACTACCCTCTGTTCCAGACACCTAAAAGTTCTCCTCTTGGTTCCCTGGTTCCCTGATTCTAAGGAGATGACCCCTCCCTCGTGGATGGAGGGAGAGAGTCCATAATACCTTCTAGCACCTCAATCCCAACAGCTGGTAAATTCCTCCTGAGATCTAACCTAATCTCCCAGATATGCTGATTTGGCCTCTTTCCTGCTAAGAGAAACAGAAACAGCCAGAGGCTGGCCCTCCCCAACCCACCGTGGTCAGACAGACAGACAAATAGACCAGATGGGAAGGACATGGGAGAAGGAGGACCCAGGCCCATCCCAGAACCCTCCCCCCAACACACACATACTGGTCAGCACAGGGCTCCGGTGGCAGCAGTTTGTCCTCATCTTCTTTGTTAAACAGAGATGACATTGTCAACCAACCTTTCACCCCGACGCCCTGAACCTGGGAGGGAGAGGCTGGGAGTCAGACAGGAGCCCCAGCACCACCTCCCAGTACTCCACAGCTGCCTCTGCCATGCTCCCCTGGGCTAGGGTGGAAGAAGGGAGAACTTACCCGGCGAGCCAGCTGTGACATGGGACTGAAGGCCTCTTCAGTGGGTCCTGCTGTCTCAGACTCCACTAACGCTGGGTTCTCCCTCTGGGACACAAAACCCCCACCCAGCATGAGAGAGACCCCAGAGGAATGGGACCCCGCTCCCCCACTGCTAGCCTGGCACTCCAAACCCCAGAGAACTAAACACGCATCTATCTAGTCCCCTCACACTCTCCACAAATGCATACAGGTACTCCTCTACACAAAGCTGCCAGTCACCTACATTACCTGTATAGTAAATCCCTGCTGATGCCCTTGAGCACACACACCTGCCCGCCCACAGACGCCTCCATACACCCCAAAAACATGTGGACAAGGGCATGCACGCTGATGCAGACACACACTTGTACATGAGCATGCCTCCACATGGCTACTGCTCTTCACCTGTACGTAGATGTACATACTATGAGGCACCTACACAAGGACACATACCATTCACACCTGTGCACTGATACAACTGCAGACAGCTGCACAGAGGCCCACCCACAGCACACAAAACCTCTCCACCCATCCACAGACACCAAGACACAGATGTACACACACCCAAACACACACACCATACAAACATAACAGCTGCAAATGCCTGCACAAAGGCACGTGGGCATAGACTTCTGCCCAAAATGTACACACCTGAAAATACCCATACCCAGTTCATACCTGCACATATACCTTCACTGGATTCCACACAGACGCCAATCCTAATACTGACCCACAAGTACTTCTACACAAGCCCAGCCCTAACACCAAACTGTCTAGACATACACTTATTCACATACACACACACACCACAGAATGACTTCCTGCTACTACCACATCTATTTGCACAACTGCCACTTATCGCAGCCTCTAGACCTAAGACTGTTCAGAGCCTTTTCAATTCTTTTAATATCAGGACAGACATGGTCCAAGGATGGCTCTGATCTGATGCTGCTACAGTGACGCTCAGAGTACAAGTGCCACGTCCCCTACCTCCAGCACCAGGGGGCTCACTTCCTCTCAAGGCAAGGTATCCCACTTCTGCTCAGCTCCACCCATTGCAAAGTTGTGTCGAGCTGAGTGTACCCCATGTGGCTACTGCCCACGGTCCTAGAAGGATCTCTTCCACGTGGCAGCTCTTGAGATCTTTGGAGACAGTAACCACTCCTCTGGTGCCCTCAAGTCTACTTTTCTTCCTCAGTTTTCTTGAATGTCCTGGCTTTCTGACACTGCCCCATGACATTTGTCATCCCCAAATGTGCCAATTGCTTCTGCACAAATGTGCCTCTCTCTCTCTGAGCCTGTCCCTTGCCCTTCTTAGTACCTTTCTCTCCTGCTGCCCCTCTGCCTAGGCCCCACCCAGCAAGCATGGTTGGTACCCACCTCCTCTGCCAGGTCCTCCTCAGATTCCCCACTCAGGGTCTGTAGCACTTTGGACTTGTAAGTTTTCCAGAAGGCCTGGTTCATGGCTGCAGGGGAAACGGGCCTGGCACACAGGCATGGGAAGGCAGTGGCTCAGTGGGCACCCAGTGGTCTGGCGCCAGGAACTTGGTGAGGCCAAGAGCTTGTTCCAGGATCGGGTGACTTCATTAAAGATGTACCAGCCTCCCCAGCTGGCACAGTGCCCTGCAAGTGAACCTGATCCAGAGGAATCTGGGGTGTGGGTGGGGCAGAACAGGCTTCTGCTGCCTCAGCCCCTTGTCACATTAGCCAAAAATAACAAAGACATCTCTTTCCACAGAGGTCTCCTTCCTGGGCCTAGGAGTACTTGAAGTTGATCTCTTGGAATGGCTCCAGAAAAATCCTCTTCTATTCACAAAGTCCATTTACAAAGTCCTTGTGACTGGAGCCATACCAGCTTGCCCTCAGCAGGGCCCCACCCTATGTCCCCACGGAGTCTCTGTGAACTGGAGTGGGAGGGTCCCAAGGCCCCCAGTCGGCGCCCTGGGCTTACATTTCACTGCTGTGTTAGGGCAGGAAACTGATTCCTCTCCCCAGGGATGCACGTGCCTGCCTCCTTGTTTCCTGGCAATAGATTCCAACAAGCTGGAGCCCCTGAATTATTGCTGAGCTCCCCTGGTCAGCCTGGAAGGCTCCAGGCTCCCGTAAATGGGGAAAGGCTCTCTGGCTCTCTCCCCACTCTGAGCACACAACACTTAGGCTGGATCTCTGCCTTTGCTGCCAGCCCACGCCTCGGAGCCCAGAGCTCAGAGAAAGAGGGCAAAGATGGGAGGTCCTTCTCTTAGCATTTCCTGTTCTTGTGAGAGGAGCTGACCCCTCTTCAGCCTGGCAGGATGCCTGTGCACTGTGATCTCTGGGGAGGAACACCCCCTCCTCACGGATTTGGCTGGGGTTGCAGGGAGGATGGAGACCCGAGGGAATAACTAGGGAGCGGGGAGAAGTGGTGAGGGCTTTGTCAGGGAGTGGAGGTATCTTGGGAAGCTGTGTGGGGGACCGGGATCCCAAACGTATTCACTCTTATTCATTTATTAATTTATTCACATCACAGACATTTCTCAGTGCCTCCCAGAGATGCTTAAAGCATGCCCCCTCTACTGTGGAGTCTAAGATCTGGGAACCAGGAAGCGGTGACAGGGTCAGAGGATGGCGCTGAGATAGGTCGGACCACGCAGGGCGGGCAGGGCAGCGGAACCTGCTTGAATACCCCCAGGCCGGCACCACCCGGCCGCTTCCCCAGCGACGGCCTCACGTCCACGGATGAGGACGCCTGGTCTGGCCCAGCCCGAAACCCCAACACTGACGTCAATGGCCGCCTGGGGGCGCTCAAGGCGCGGCCTGCTAGAGTGACGTCATCAGAGGCGGTCTGCAGAGCCGGCTTCGGCCCCGGGCGTCGCATGACGTCACTGAGAAGTCCGGAAGTGCCCACACGTGTGCTTGTAACTCGGCTCTGGGTGCCCTGGCCCCGCTGTCACCAGCCATGGGTCGCTCCCGCCGGACGGGCGCGCACCGAGCGCACTCCCTGGCCCGCCAGATGAAGGCGAAGCGGCGGCGGCCGGACCTGGATGAGATTCACCGCGAGCTGCGGCCCCAGGTTTCCGCACGGCCCCGGCCAGACCCCGGCGCCGAACCCGACCCCGACCTGCCAGGGGGCGGCCTGCATCGCTGTCTGGCCTGCGCGTGAGTCCCGGCCAGACCTGGCCTGAGGGGGAGAAGGGTCTGCGGTAAAGGCAGGGGTTGTGAGGTGGCGGCCCCGGGGCGCGCCGGGTCTCCTCTCCGGGGACCCGTGGGTCTGCGGGCCTGCCATCCCTTCAGACCCGGAGCCTGGTGTCAGGGAACGAGCTAGGGTCAGGGAGCTAGGCGTACCTGAGAGGCATCACCTCTCACTCTCCTCTTACCCCCATCCCTACAGGAGGTACTTCATCGATTCCACCACCCTGAAGACCCACTTCCGATCCAAAGACCACAAGAAAAGGTATGAAGGAGTAAGGAGAGGATTGACAGATGGGTGCCAGGCAGACAGGGCTCACATCTGGTCAGCTCCCAACTCCTATTCTTCTTTCTCCCAGGCTAAAGCAGCTGAGCGTGGAGCCCTACAGTCAGGAAGAGGCCGAGAGGGCAGCGGGTATGGGCTCCTATGTGCCCCCCCAGCGGCTGGCAGTACCCACAGAAGTGTCCACAGAGGTCCCTGAGATGGACACATCTACCTGACATGGCCTGAGGATGCAAGGCAGAGGAGCTTCCCATGGACAGTGGTGCAAACGCTAGGCTGGAGAGACTGTGCCAACCTATTTTGGCCCTGGGTTTGGGAAGTGGATGGCCTATTCTGGGTGCCCTGCCCCCGCCCAATAAAGGAATTGAATAAAGGGAGCTTGCCTCTGACTCTAACCTCCAGGCCACTCCCCCAAACTCCTGCCCTGTAAGGGTTTCTTTACTACTCCTGTGTCCAGGGACCAGGGTGTCTATTCCTCACTTGGTCCAGCTTTGGAACCTGCATCCTTGCCCTCCCTCAGGGGTCCTGGCATCTGAGCTGGAGGCCCCAGACAGAGCCCACGTGTGGGGCGGGGTCGGGTTTATACCGTCCTGCTTCCACTGAGGGCAGATTGACCCCCAGCGAAGAAGTAGGCTCCCAAGATTGCAGCCCCCTCTAAGTCACCTACCCCCAGGGCCTGTCATGGGGCCTGTGGCGGCCGCTGCTGCCCCACCATCTTCCAGACGGCATAGCAGGAGCCGCCCAGCCCGAGGACAGCCAGCAGTGTAGCCACAACCCCAGCCACTGGACTCCGGGGCTCTGCCTTTAGCTTCCCGGCTACCTGCATCTGGGGGTGCAAGGAGAGTTGCGTCTGAGGGGTCAGTTGAGACTTCTGGGAAGGTGGGGGGGTGTGAAGGGGCTGAGAAAGTACAGCTGGGTGAAAGAGATGCGGATGCCATTGCTGCCCCAGGGAGATTCCACCCCAATCCTCTCGCTTCATTGCCCATCTGGGCCTTGGCTGCTCAGGCGGCAGGGAACGTGACAGCCTGGCTTTTGGGGTATCAACCCAGCCGTGGTAGGGGGATGAAGGAGTCGGTGCCAGAAGCCATCAGTTAGGAGTACTTACCTGTAGCACCCGGAAGTAGCCAGGGGTCAAGCGTCGAAATCGCATGGTGGATGTCGCTAGTCTCCCTGGCGGCCTGTGGGGTGGAAGCAGGAATGAGGACCAGTGGTGTTCATGGTACCAAGTAATGGAAATCAGGGCATAGAGGTTCCTGACCTCTCTTCTGCCCTCAGAGGATGCTCACCAGCGTCTGCCCTCTTAGGTCTGGCAGGGGGCGGGGCAGCTGGACCTTTAAATCTGTCCCTCCCCCCTGCCCATCTGCCCGCCCTGCCAGCCTTAGGAGCAGCTGTCAGGAGAGATCAGCATCAGGCCTGAGCAGCACCTCCCCCACCCACTGGGGAGGCCAGGCTGGGTAGGCAGGAGAGGGCCTGCCTGGCAGGGCTCAGGAGTCTCAGGCCTGGACCAGGTACTGGGAGGGCCTCCCCAGCCCTGGTCCCGGCCACATCCCTACCTCAGATGATTGGATGTTACCAATCAGCTCCCTGCAGAGGAGGGGGAGGTGCCTTATTAACCCCCCTCCAAACAGCAGTATGCCTTTTTCACTTGGTTTCTGTTACATCAACCACCCCTGCCTTGGGGGAGGGCACATTTCACCCCTTTCCACAAAAGCGAAGTTCCTGCAGGGACTTCCCTACTCTCAGTTTGGGGACTATAATAAAAGGAAATCTGCATATACTGATTAAGAAGGCTGTCCATGGTGTGCTAAAAAATAATAGCTGACTGTGCTGGGCACTGTTCTAAGCACTTTACATGTATTATTTCATTTGGTATTGATTAGCTCATAAAAAGGAAAAAAAAAAACATATTTGGGGAATAGTATGTAGAGTATGCATATTTAGAAAAGGACGAAACACCCGGAAAACAACAGTGGCGCCCACTGGGGTATGGAACAAGGATATGCTGGGAAAAGGGCATGCCCTCCTTTCACTTAATGACCTATTGTTACCTTTGAAATTTTTATAGCAAATATGTAGAAAGAACTTTTAGAAACTCATAAAACTACCTTTAAAATAGAAGCCGCCATTTACTGTGTCTGTAACTGCCTAGCCCTGCCGGGTGCAGGGGGCACAGAGTAAAGGCACTGCTGTGGCTCTTAGGCCCCCATCCTTTTAAGGGAGCACCTGAGCACAAGTGGTGAGTTCTGGTCTGTTTCTCCTCTACAGGCTTGTGAGTTCAGGGAGGACCAGGGCTGGCTGGCTTCTCACCTCTGTATCTTGTGCCCGCTCAGCGTAGTTGTTTGATGAAATCAGGATGGTGGAGATAGATCTGTTTATTGGGCTTCCCCAGAGTGTCACAGGAAGGCCGTGGTAGGAAGAGGCAAAAACGTTAAAGGAGGCCGCAGCACGGAGGAGTGTTGGAGGGACACACAGTGCAGGGTATGAGGACGTGAGGTGAAGGATGAAGCCAGAGAGGTGAGGGCCATGTTACAAGTTTGGAGCCTACTGTTCACAAACGAGGGGCAAGGCCTGCAGGGCCTGCAGGGACCTGGCCAGCTGGAGCGCCCCCGTTTGAAGGAAGCAACCTACGGTCTGCACTTGTGTTTGATGCCGCGTGTGAAGGTGGGATGGGGGTCAGCAGAGCTGGCCAAGTTCCAGAGAACTCAGTTTGTATGTGAAGTTATTAAATGCTGACAACTAAAACACATGCAATACACGGGCCATCTGTGGGCCACATTCAGACTGTGGGTGTCTGGGTTACAGGCAAGATCATGAAGGCTGAGTGTTGGGAGCTGGTAGAGATTCTGAATTAGGTGACCCAATCAGAGGGACAGGCTCTGGGAAAGCCTGACAGGCCCCTCCTCACATAATTAAGGCAATAATAACTCAGATCTACCCCGTGTTACAGACTTCAGAATGCTTAAAGGACCTCCTCACAGCACTAAGGTCTAGGTGTTCCTCTTTTAGAGAGGAAGAAACAGGTTCAGAGAGATGTAGGGGTTGGGCTCAGTCACACAGCAAGTGGAACTGATTCTGTCGGATTCCAGAGTCCTGGGACTCCCCTGGCCTGAGATGATGATGATGACAAAGATAACTGCAAACATTTAGTATGTTTCAGACATCGTTCTAAGAGGAAGGCTCTTAACCTGGGCCTCAGAATTCAGGGGGCCCATAAACTTGGATGGGAGAACATATATATATATTTATTTTTACTAACTTCTAACCAAAATTTACTATTTCCATCTATATGGATTGAAGTGTTAGCAGTATCTGTGGCTTTGTCATCAATAGGAGTCACAGATATTTTTATATCAAACTGTGGTTACTGCAAGTATCTCAAAATATTTATGCTCATAACTATTTCAAAATCGTGATGGTTGTTAACCCACCACTAAATTGCACTCTGTCTCAGACACTTCTGCGATTTAGCTGCCGTTGATCCGGCACCTCTGTGCCCAGTAGAGGGTCAGTGACCAAATGGTGAATCTGCCTGTTCTCACACCAGTGACCCAGGCTTCTCCATTACTCCTGCATTCCCTTTCTTTAGCTGTTTGCTGATCACTGTGTGAGAGGAGGTGAGTCAAAGACCACCCCACAGTTTAATGTTCTTATTCAAGCTGCATGACAATACACTGATGTCATTAGAAAAGGAAAATTTAACTTTAACTTGCCAGTCTTGTTATTTAATGCTAATAAACACATATTACTATATCATAAATTTAATAATAATTGTCATCATTGTAATCTTCAGCATTGTGATTTTATGCTTTTAAAAGCACTATTCTGAGAAAGGGTCCATAGGTTTCACCAGACTGCCAGAAGGGGCCATGGTGCAAAAAACAGGGAGCTAAAAACCCCTGTTCTAAAGGTTTTAGAGCTATAGACTTGGGTGCTCTGCACAGCAGCCCA